CAATTTTTAAGACCTAATATGATTTAATCGTTATGCAACAATCGAACATCGAATTGGATGACTAAAAGACATAATATGATTTAATCAATTTTTTTGGATGACTAAAAGACATTTGCAACAAGCTTATAAATATGGATGACTAAAAGACATAATATGATTTTTACAACACTCAAACCATACTCGCTTATCCTTCCCAAAACCAGACCCTTTTTGAACTATTTCTCTATTTTTGGTTTATCACTAAAGCTCGATCCTCGCACTTATTGCCTATGCTTCGTTTTATTCGGTAATGGCAATGACATCACCTTCCTCTTTGTTTCTTCATGCCGAACTTTAGCAAAGACCTCCTTTAATGGTGCTAATGGTTTTATACCAAGTATCCATCCTCGAACATCATCTAGTTTTTTATTTAAACCTTGCAAAAAGTCAAAGATTCGATCCTTTTTTAGCATTTTGCTATAAAGCACCCTATCATCAGTCCATTTTCAAGATATATTGTAAAACATATCAATTTCTTGCCACAATTCGACATGTTAGTAAAATATTCGGTAATAGGTGATATACCTTGACGAATATTTCAAAGTTTGCAACAAACCTCAAAACATTGTGATATGTTCTCCAAGTCCGAATACATATATCTCATTGAATCCCATATTTCCTTTCTTGTTTGGTAGAACAAATACAGCCATCCAATTTTTTGATCCATAGAGTTGATCAGCCATGCCATGATCGTAGAATTTTCGACCTCCCAAACTCTATAATCGATTGACTCTAATAGTGATGCCTTCTTTGCTCCAATTAGATATACCATTTTTCTTACTGTCCTCGATCACTAGTAAAACCGATTGATACTACTCTCTAAAATTACTCATGTTTAGTTTGTGAGAGGTGATTTGGATTCTCGATATGATTGGGTAAAATTGAGGTTTGTGGGTTGACAACGGTAAGTATCTTAATTGATTCCTCTGTAGATGACGTGGAGCTCGCCATCCATTCGACTAAGATTGACTAGAATTGGCTTGGTTCTTTTACTGGAGGATAACTCTGATTTTGATACCATAAAATAGAAATATAAGAAAAAAAAAACACAAGGATTAACATGATTCAATCATAAAAACCTACAACCACGAGAGGAAGGTATCAGCTTTTTTTTATATATTTGTCACACCAAATACAACAACAAGAAGTTCCTTTTATAGGAGCCATATACACCATAATAGGAATCCACAATTCAAGAAAATTGGAATAGGAAATCAAGGCCATGTTTCCTTCTAATTTTCTATGATTATAGTCATTGATTTCTTAAATAGGAAGATTCTGTTCCTCCTAAATTGGAGGTATATTTCCCACGTTGAAGAATTGGGCAGAACTGGCATTGGCTATATATAGAATGTTAAGATTCTAACAACAAGACTGATTTAAACTGGAAAAGCAAAGAAACCAGCACTTTGTGGGACTAAACCAAGTAAAGCAAAATAGGTGCACATAAGTTGGTCCCTCATGTGTCTGCTTTTCTTCCATTACAAGACAATGAACCGTTTGTACACCGAGAAAGATGAAATAATGAGACAAAGTAAAGAGAAAACATTTAGTTCTTTCACTTTCTGCTTCCCGCTAAGATGTAGTACAGAAAATTTTGATTAATTCCAGCTGTGGGATTCAGAAGTTAAACATCACAAAACGTAAAGGTTACAGAGATTCAAAGAAGAAAAAAGAATAGTTTTTCCCTGACATCCAGATAGTGATGACCATGAATGATAAACCAGCTTCGACTTTTGAGTTTCCCATCTTAGCTACACTGTATCAAGATACTGTATACGTATGTGCATCCCAATTCTTTGTTTACAAATCACACTATCATTATCTTGTCATCTTTGAATTTTGCAAGCTGCAAAAAATTTTGCACTCTCGCGCTGCTTTAATATTGGCATGCAACCAAGAAAGGTCAATATGTACCTCTCAATAGGCCTTCGAGAACCAATAGTTAGCCTTGGTTTTGCAGAAGCGAAAATTGCAAGGCCTCGTCATTGAGATCTTCAACGAGAGGCCAGCTATTCAATCCAGACTCCAAAAACTTTTCCTCACAGAAAGTAGCAGTGAGTTTTGCTACAGAATAGTCAATGAACTTAACAAGATCTTCAAGATTATGTATATGAGAACTGCAGTCTAAAAATTCAACCATCCAAGCTTTCTTAGTATCACAACTACAATTCTGTTGCTCATGTATTATCCCATATGTTCTGCCCATATCAATGCACAGTTGAAGAAAGTTGGGATCATCTAACATTTCCATCAAATCCAAGAAGAAGCCATGATTTCCAGCTACAACATCCATGCTTATCATTTTCAATGCAATCCTCCTTATGGATGACAAATTAAACACAAAATGCTTAGCCGTTTTGGATGAACTCCAGACTGAAATTCCATCTTCTCTGAGTTGACAGTAGAGTTGGACCATATTGGCCAAAAAGAAGCGTGATAGGAAGGTAAAAAAATCAGAAAAATTCATTCCTGTTAAAAACAACCCATCAGTACAGTATAAGATTTATACAACCTCACCAGGTACCTTCGACAACTACATTGGTATTATCACATGCAATGGATATAATATAAGTTAACAATCAAATCTTGCGTCCAACAAATATGTGCCACTAGATATCTTTCCATATGCTTCCAGTCAAATCAACACTGGTAGTAAAAATTGGCTTGACAATGTTTCTTATAAGCCCCTTGATGCAGCAAGAAATTCATCTTCTATCCTGGTCGACTGAGCTACTCCAAGTAATAATGAATGATTTCACACCAAACTTTGAGGATGCCATATTTCCCAATTCCTAGATACCAAGTCTCGGGATAGCATATTTTTCAAGTTATACAGTTGGCTGCACTTTTGACACTTAATGACTTGCACCATGTAAAATGCCCCATAATGCAGGTCTTGCTTCGTGTTTAAGAAAAAAAAAATGTAAAGTGTGGACTCCAGCAAAGACAACATAGAAGACATTTTTATTGGAAGCCATTGTAACCACTATATGATGAACTATCAACCTACTTCCCTGTTTTGAGAAGCACTATATGAATTTCATTCCAGCCCTATTTTCTTCAATCATCTTCATTGCAAAATCAGATCACAACTAAGACAGTGGGATGAACATATTGGCTTATTGTTACTCGCTAATTATTGTTTACTTGTAGGCCTACTTGGCCAGAACCCTTTTTTATTTCTCACAGGAGTACTTTAGTAGTGCTTTTTTAAGTGAACTGAATTAATAATTTACTCTGGTCCATTGCAACTTTATGACAGAATTTCTACGCCTAACAAAGGTGGCTTAGCATAGTTTGCAAGTTGTTAATACCAAATCGATCCTGAATAGAGAGCAATAGCTAGTCAAATTGGCAGATTATTAAGTTGGGATAACCTAATAACATTACACAAAAGGATAGGTAGCTAAGAGCATTGGTGATCTGGCCAGTGGATTGGATGGAAGGCTATTATCGAAGTAAAAAAGACACCAGCAAGCATGTACTGTTATGTATTCCTCTTATTAATAGTTTACCTGTGTTAGCTGCAAGATTGCGTTGGCATAGACCTTCGAAATCATCAGAGATATCACGGATGTCCTCTATATACTCCTTAGCCTCCTTGTAGTCTCTCAAAAGCAAATCCAACTGAAGGAATGAGGAAATTAATGGGACAAGGTTGGCTTCCCTGATTTTATTCAAAGGTATTTTTCCTAAATGAATAATTTGGCTGTACTGCTGTACTTACCACCCATGAAAGATTATATGCATTGAACCAGTTGTGATTTATTGATATTGTATCTTCCTGAAAGAATTATTGTAAATATTTGTCAAGAAAGAAAACAATTAATAAACAGATAACAAATAAACAATAGTCCTATGTGAAATTGCAGTGTCCCATCAAATCTGAACGATTAAATCACATTTGACATCCATTGAGGACTAAATAAACAAGAAATTAACCAGTCATGGCCATATTGAAGTGTCCTGGAGGACTTGGAAAGGTGGGTTGGGGGATTTGGAGGCAGTCTCACCTTTCCGAAATTGTCAAAAAGAGTTGTTCTAAACCTAAACCTCTATCCTCGTGGTTGCAAGCCCACAGATCTTAACATTACAGCAAGCTCCATATCGCTCAAAGCCTAGCCAACTATACAGTGAAAATAAGGCAAAACTGCAAATAAAAACGAGCTGGAGTCGTGCTCAAAATGACATATGAGTTGGAACAAGAAGCAGTCTGATGTTTCTAGGGTATCAAAAGCTTTGTGCGTGAGAAGGGAATTAAGCATGAAGAATCACATTTATATATCCTTACCACCAATGACAAACTGAAAAGGAAAAAGAAAGTAAGGTACCAGATTATGAACTTGATGATACCATCCACTAGGTACAAAGATAATTTCCTTCTGTTCTTGAAAGCACTCCAACCAGATACCCTACACACATGACATGAACACACAGGCAACATAAGTACAGAGTGTTTATTAGGGAGCTAACAATCTGAAGATTTAGACCAGTGACTTACTTTCTTAAAACCTGGAAAGTTTGTTTCACTAACATCATCAAAAATATTATAAACACAGCTCTTAAAGCCCCTGAATCAAAATAGCGATGGAGGTTCCAGTGAAAAGAAGTTGTGAAACAAAATAGGTAGAAATTAAAAGTTCCTTGTAATCGCTCATCTATACATACAATACATACCAACTCCGACACTATGTTCTACAGTGTTAAGTTGCAGGGCTCTGTAAGTAAAAAAGAGTTGTCCAGGGAACAGATTGCTGGGAACGATCATGCAAGCCAGATAGTTGCCACTTGCAATTGGCTGTGGCACACAGATGTATAATTGCTAAGGTCAATGTTATAGTTTACTCTAGGCTAAAGCCTAAATGTTGGCAAGAACCAATCCATCAACTCCTGCAGCGCCGGATAACAAAAGAAGATGGATGCTGTGTTGTATTTTAATTTCACCTAGTACCATAACTGACAGTTCCCTTTCAAGAGACAGTACTTGAAAGACAGAGGTCCTAATTCCAATCTAGAACCAGACCTTTTTTAGCATGGTGTGCTCATTTTAATAGTATGTTTTTTGAATCCATATCTATGCATACCTGTCAAACACAAGATGACATTGAGAAGGAGGGAGAAAAAGCCATTTCTTCTTCCCGCATACATTCGCTGACCAACTATATGACCTGAAAACATCAGCATGAAGAGGAGTCCAGGATCCTGAACAGATGAAAAGGAAAGTAAATGTCTAGGTTAACATTCAACCAAAAAAATAAGGAAAACAAATATCTGTGCTGAGCAGAGAGAAAAATATTATTACAACTATATCTAATCTAACAAGAAAAGGTTGGGGCCCATAGCATCTATTCATGACCTTTTGCTCCCATATAGACAAAACGATAGTCAGAGCAATTTATTTCATCATTCTCTTGACAAGTATCAGAATCGCTATGCATACGATGATGGTCAAGATACAGATTGAGCCAATCATCAGAAAATAACAGAGGAGTTCTGTATGCTACATATTCTGGGTACTCCTGAGAATCAACAGCAAAGACAAGCAGAGAACAAGTGAGACAATCGCAGTATTGATGCTTTAATAAATGCACCTTAAATTAAATCTTAACTTATACAGTTGACATGATGTGACAATCATTTGCTTTGCTAAGCAAAAGAAAAACTTTAAACCATGAAAAGGTAGGGAATGGGGAGAGCCAAGTAATGGGGAGAGCCAAGTATACTTGGAGTTGGAAATGGCAAAATACTCACCAGTGCACCTTAAACAACAATTGCATTGAGTTATTTTGTATATTTATGATGAAAACTATAATCCTTTAAGCAATTATTTTTTTCACCACTAACCAATTGGTCCAGATTGATTGATTAGTCAGTTCTATATTTGGTTGTAGCCTATGAAGTTAACGACAACCAAGGACAAGGAAGTTCAATGATACAAGAAAAGAAATAGTCCTATTTCTAGAATGAGACAGTTACCAAAGTGATAGATGCCCAAATTGCTGCTTGTTGCAGCCATATAGAACCCCATGAGTGAATCTGACAACAGACTATCTTGTGAAGCTTCCTTAGCCATCAAGCAACTAATGCAAGTGCCACAAACAGGCTAATCTTTACCATCGTCACTGAATTATAAATTCTCTGTCGAGTCTCCCATTTTAGAAGTGTATTTGCACGTGTGCTACGAAGACTACTGGAGTAAAGACTTCAGAGCTTTCACTCATTAAAATGTATTTGACAATCGTAGAATCAAAACTGGTCATTCCAAAGAACAATTTAAAAAGGATTTGTGGCTTATTGAAACCAATAATATAGTTAAAAGTTCGCTAAACATTCACCTAAGCCTCTAATTATGCAGATTCATGCGGTCAACACTCAGAATATTTCCAGACGTGGTCACTCAGCCAAGTAAAAAATAAACACTAGAATTCCAAATGCAAATAAATAAATATACAAATAGAAACTAAACTTAAAAACTTGTACTGTACCTTTACAAAATGCCAGTCCTTTAAATATAGCACAGACTTGCCATTATCCTCTTGAAATGAATTTGATGCACCACCACACTCTTTCGCATCAGTCCAATGGTCAATAAACTCAGAAACAGTCATTTCTACCCTCTTCTGATCCGTAAAATCTCTAGTACCACAATCGGCAACCTAACAACAGCAAAACCAATACAGCATTTTCAGTGGAATCAACTAAAACAAACAAAACCCATTTAAAAGAATAGCTTCAACATTCCCATAACATTGCCAAATCAAAGAAAACACCAAAAAAAAGCAACCCAATAAAACATGCAAACAAAAGCCAACAAAAAAAAAAAAAAAAAGTAACTTTAAACACAATTCTTATTCCATTATTAAACAATATGTAAAAGAAAGTGAAATTTGAGCTGGTGAATTACCTGAACTTTGGAATTGCCAAAGTGGGTCGAGAAGAATTTCAAATTGGGTTTTCCATTATCAAAGACCCAATCTTTACAAGCCCGCCAATCATCCATTAAACCTGTTAAAACAACTGGTTGGTTCTTTGATAAATACCTCTCTACAAACTCATTATAACTTAATTCTTTCCCATTCACCTTCTCTATTGTCCCTCCAATTTCAAAACCCATTTCTTTAATTCTTTATTTTTTATTTATTTGGCCCCAAACTTTCACTGTCTTGCACTGATTCAGAGGCCAAAAAAGCCCTAAACTTTATTCTTGTTTGCTCGATGAATCCGAAATGAGACCAAGACTAGTTTTTAAATGTTTTAAAACCATGGGTAAAGTGCATTTTAAACCCTATAGTATTAAACATATTTCATTTAGATCCCAGTTTCAATTGTTTCACCCAGACATGGCAATCTGGTTGAGCTGGGGTGGGTTCGGGTTGGATCGTCCCGTGTTTGGATTTTATTTGAGTTCAAATCAACACATTGCTCTAATCCTAACCCATCAAGTTTGGACGGATTTAGATCAACCCATGCGTCTAAGATTTTTTTCCTTGAAAAATAAAAAACTCAACTATTTTTATCACATATCACCTACACACATGAGTTTGAATTGTTAGCAACTCATAAAATTCTATGTGATGATTAGCTAACATATGTATTTATATTTATATAATAATAATTAATAATAACAATAGAACAATATAAATAATAAAAAATGTAATAATAAAAAATACATAAATAACAAGATATTAAACAATCAAAGAAACCACTCAAGTTATTTTCAGGTTTTAATATCATAATATAGTCACAAATTAGTTCATTACATGGAGGAAAGTAAATTTGTCTTACTGAAAACTTAAATGAAACAATTCATAGATTAGAAATTTAAATGGAAAAATTCTTATGAAAGAAAAATAAAAATAATAAGTGACACATATTCCTTTGGATTTTCCAACAATCTCACTTATTTTTAGCAATATTTGGCTTGGAAAAGTGAATCTCTAATCCTGTAGTTTCTTAAGTCTCGTTGTGTTCATTTGCATTATGTTATTACATATTAACAAGATAAATTAAAAGAAGTGGAGGTTTACTTGTTCCCGCATTGTTTATCCAAACTCAAATGGATCTGCAGACAAAGACACATTCGCATTGTGCTTCTCCTTTTCTTGAGTCTCGACCAGTTAATCATTTATCATGTTTGTTCGTCGTTATCCGATTTCATTCTTCGGTCTTTTTTTCTTTTTTTCCCTTTTTTTCATATGTGACCTCATCATCTCCTGTTCTTGGCCGTTCGATCTTCATGATGCCTTTTGTTGGTCGTGCAATTTATATGTTCATGGTGCGTTTTACTTTTTAATTTCTCCTTCGCAAGTTGATGGATGACATGCTTACTCTTTTGGTCTTTTTTATGACAATGTTTTTTACATCATTTTCTATTTTTATTGCTAGAGCATTCAATGCTCTTGGCTTGTATGCTTCCTTTTTGCTTGTTTTTTTAATAATTTTCCATCCTATTTCATCATTTTCTTTCTTTCTTCGATCACCTTCTTCCTTCTTCTTCTTCTTTTCATTTTTTCATCATTTTCTATTTTGCCTTGCTAGAGCTTTTAATGCTTCTAGCTTATGTGCTTCATTCTTACTTTTTTTTTTTAATGATTCTCGGTCCCATTTCATCATTTTCTTTCTCTCTTCAATCAACTTCTTCGTCTATTCATTTATTTATTCATGCGATTTCATTATTTATTCTTTTATGACCATTTTATGATTCGTTGGTAGCCTATTTAGTTGGTCTTAGAAACTAGATCCCCTTTTCTATTTTCTACTTCGTTTGCTATTATTGCTCCTAATTGCCTCTCTATTTTAAGGGTTCTTCTTCAGGAAAAAAAAAATACCCTCCAGGTTCGACCATGATTTTGATTCTTCTACCTCCAGTTTGTATGTTATTGTTTTTTCCTTTATAATTTTCTTTTTTATATGTTATATTGTTTTTTTGTTTTTTATATAACCCTATATATATATATATATATATAACAAAATTATGTTCTCGATTTCCTAACCCGTGAGTTTCGCAAAACAGGACATGATGCCTTAGAAAAACAAAGGGAAAAAACCCCTTTCCAAACCAAAAAGCCTCTCCTCAAAACAAACCCAAACACCGGCCTAACCAAAACTCTTAGCCTCGACTTGACCAATCATTCCTTGGGCAAAAATGGTTTCAAAACAGGATGAAACTCCTAAAGCCCGAGTATGTCGAAACTTAGGTCCAAAATCTCACCATCTATTTTCCAGGAATATAAATGAATGATGTAGGTATGAAATGAAATAAATTGAAATACAAAATTGAAAATAAGAAAATAGAAATTGGACGGCAGAGCCGACCATTAAAATGCAGATTCAAAGGCGGTAGAGCCCGCCATTAATTATGCGGGTAATTAAACGAATAACGATTTAAATCGGGAAATTTAAAAACGGACTCTAGGTATGTTGCATTGTGACCAAAGGTTAAACCACTCGATAGGACCGAACGAGTCCCTAAAGGTTTTGTTATTGGTTTTCAGTCGATATACCTTTGACTCAAGACGGAAAGTGAAAGTAAGAATTTCATTTATTGATAAAATCACTTACGAGTTTTTGATAAGCAAGAGTACACAGGAATTTATTTGATTTCTTTGTTGTTTTGATTTGAATATGTCTAAGGGATTACAAGAGAACAATGTTACGGAGAAAACAATGTTCTAAGTAATGGCCTAAAAGAAACACACTCTTATTACAAATGAGAAATGAGTTTTCTTATATAGAAGAGAAAGTTGTCTTAAACAATGTCTCACATATGGATGAACGAGTAAGACATCGAAAGTAATTTTGTTTTATCTTGAACGGTGTCTTCACATATGGATGAGCGAGTAAGACACCGAAAGTAATGTTGTTCCCGTAACTTATAAGTGATGTACATGAGGGAAAATTCTAAAGCGAGTCATCTTCATTGTCGTCACCCGAGTTTATGACGGGTTCTAATTCGATTCTGAATCGCTACTTGGAAAGATTCGACCTACTTTGCAGTAATTGTGACATGATTGCAAAGTATTCTTCTTCGATTTTTATGATGCTAACTTGGCCGTAGAAAGGATTTTTAGGCCGGAAAGCTTGAAGTGGCCAAGCTCGGGTTTGAACGAGCTTTGTTTTGTGAGCCATTGTTCCACCGAGGCTTTTGACGAGTGAGGAGGGAACATTGAAAGCATCCCACCATTTGACTTTGAATCTCCCGGTTAGGATCGGGGTAGTATCCCGATATTTGACATCATAATACCAAGAACAAACCCATGGTAAAAAGAACTTGGTACGAGAAAAGAAAAAGGGGGTAAAACGTTCTTCTTTTTCTAAGGGGTTATGATTTGTTTGGAAGAGTTTGTAGCTTTTAGAAACAGTTGGGATAAGTATTTCGGAATGGAACCAAAGTAATTCCACCATTGGAGGAACCACATAGGAATTTTTGAGGTATCGACTTCGTATCAAAATAGAAGAGCCGGGAGTGGCTTCCTCTTTTGTTTTGTAAGAAAGGGGTATTAAACCAAGCTTCTTGATAATTCCAATATGAGTAGGTAAGACGAGTGTTTAGTAGTAGTTTTAAAGTTTACTGGGAAGGTAATTGGTTTTGAAAGATCATGTCCCCAATCAAGAGGATGGATGATTTTTAGGATACGACGGAGTTGAATAGGCGGTTTCTAAATTGTCCGGAGTAGGATGGTGTTTGAAAACTGTCGAGGCTATTGTTTCTAGGATGGCCATGTAGTAGGATTGTGTTTTGGATAAATCCTAAGGTTTGAAGTGTCAACTAGAACCAAAGAATTTTTAAACTATCTTAAAAGGGTCATCATAGTAAAACCCATCTTCGACAATAAAAATGTTTTGGGAAGCATTTTTTAAGAAATACATGGACTCATATTTTTTAGTTTTGTTTTTTGATAAAATGATTTGAGTGTTTTGTGAAATATTTTGAGAAAGAATTTTTAAAGAATGGTGAGATTCTTGAGAAAGGGGTTTTACGAGAGGAAGAACCTTTCTCTATTTTTGAAACGAGGTTGAGGAGTCATACACGAGAGTTTTTGTAGGGCTAGAAGGAGTTACGGCTTATTTGTGAGATTTTGGACCTAAGTTTCAATAAAGCTGGGCTTTAGGAGTTTCATCCAGTTTTGAAACCATTTACGCCCAAGGAATGATGGGTCAAGCTGAGGCTAAGAGTTTTGGTTGGGCTAGTGTTTGGGTTTGTTTTGAGGAGAGGCTTTTTGGTTTGGAAAGGGTTTTTTTTTCCTTTTTTTTTTTTGGGGGGGGCACCATGTCCTATTTTGCGAAACTCACGGAGTTAGGAAATCGGGAACATAATTTTTTCTCCTTTAATAAATTCTATTTCAAAATAAAAAACACTCGGGATTGCTTGCCATCGGGCAAAAATCTATTTTGATGCAATATTTTGGACATCTTTTTATAAAACCTCTTTTGCAGATTTACAATCAATGCGTAAAAGAAATTTTTAATTTAGCAAATCACTTTGAAATTTTTGAATGCACATGACAATGCTCGAACTTCTTTCTTGATAGTAGAATAATTTTGTTCACAATTAGTCCAATGTCGTTGAAGTGAACTGGATAATTTTTCTTGACCCGAGGACACTTGTTTTAATATCCCACCATACCCTAATTTAGAAGCATCCTTTTCTATAATTTTTGGTAGAGAAGGGTCCGCTAGATGAAGGCGAGGGATTTCTAAGACTCGTTTCTTAATCCGTTGAACTATCCTAGTGTGTTCATAAGACCATGGAACTGGTTTTTTTTTTAACTTGTCATGCGGGGGTTTTGCAATACGATTAATGTTTGGACGTAAATCTAAAACATAATTCGGACTTTCTAGGAATCTTTATAGCCGAGTTTTGTCAAGAATCTTATCATGAAACTTATTAGCAAATTCTAAAAATCTCTCTATTGGGGTAATGGTTCCTTGGGTAATTTAGTGACCTAGGAAACGTATCTTGGTTTGAAATAGAGAAATCTTAGGTTTGGAAACTACTAAACCATTCCGTTTTGCAACATAGAAGAATGTTTTCAAATGCTTGAAATGCTGATCAATGAAATTTGAAAATATTAAAACATCATCTATGTAAACAATGCGGAATTGTGAATATGG